TACTTGAGATGTGTCACAAGTAATGTACCGCTTCCACGTCCAGTGTTTCTTCGGCTCAGAGTGTCAGCATGGAGACACACCTGAGATGTTGTGTTCCTGATTGCAGCTCAATCACTGCAGATTTCCACGCAATCAAGACTTGGAACCAGCTTGAAATCAGTGTAACAAGTTCTGCCATAAAAACTTGGGATTACCTGAAGAATAATCTGAGTAGCTACTTATTGAGCTAAAACGCGCCCCGTTTCATACTTGCTGTGATACAACTGCAGATGTCTTCCAGGAACTGAGTTCGCTAGTTTCCTGGTGGGTTCTTCGACCACGAATCAAATCATCAAACGTTTTCAGTTGCGCTCCCGCTCAGTATCAAGTGAAGGCACTTGTTTGATCGCTTGTGACAAAAGTCAAGACCAGCGGTGCCCTGTTTTTGGATTGCCCCTTTTCAAAAACGATCGCTTGGCGTCTACTGCTCTTGTGGCTGTTTTTCAGGCTTGATCTCCACTTTCAAAAGTTCACTTTTATATCATGGCTGTCTCATCAAGCAACGCAAGAGCCCTCGAGGCCGGCAGATGTTTTTGACCAATCTTTGATTCTTTCGGGCCAGCGCTGAAAATACTGTTGACCAAGAGGAGCTTGTTTGGCACGACAGATACGCAAGAAGGCGCGTCAAACGAAACGGTTTTGGCGAAGGCAGGTTTTTGCGCCAGAAGCGTCGCATCGTGATGAACGGTGGCCACCAGCGCTGGTTAAGTCAGCCCCTGGCAAAAAGACGCTGCTGCAAACAAATGTGAGGAGTTTATTCGATGCTTTTGTGAACAAGAAGACGCCTAGCCTAGCGGTGAAGCAGCTAAATGACAAGTCAGACAAGCGATGGGTTGTCCAGTTGATGCTGCTTGCCTTAACTCAACCAGCAGAACATCACCATGCCAAGTCTTTCAGACCATGTCACTTTCTACAACTCTCTCATGTTTTGGGCAATCCGCAGGCAAGCTGCAACTTGATGCCCTTAGCTGGCGATCTGCAATGTGGAACCATTCTTGCAACCCAACGTAGCAACCAGAGTCAGGGCAAAGTCGACGATACTGAAGTGACGTGTCGTTGAGATGCTCCAGCAAAAGACCGAATGCCGCAGCAAACGTAGGAGAGATGTCAAGCAGAAGGTCATCTGTGCGACATGATGGCTTTGGCTAAGTCAGCCCCCGACAAAAATGCGCTTTAGCAAGCAAACGTGATCCTCTTGTTTTGAGGCAGTGCTGAACAAGAATCGCGATGTGGTGACCTAGACAAGTGGCGATTCAGATATGAGTTGACAAAACGTACAAAAAAGGCTGCTGCATGCAGCCTGAGGTTCGGATCAGTTCGCCTGAGCTGGGAGTCAGAAGGCATCGTGCTTCACTGCTTCCTTGAGACAAGTCTTTGAGCACTGGTCCTACGAAGAACAAGCAGGTTCCAACAAAATGGTGCCTCAACAGCATGCAGCACACCAGCAAACCAACT